TTAGTTTCTGCTGTATAACAAAGTGAATTAGCTATACATATACATACATCCCCATATCTCCTCCCTCTTGCGTCTCCCTCCCACCCTCCCTATCCCACCCCTCTAGGTGGTCACAAAGCACCAAGCTGATCTCCCTGTGCTATGTGGCTGCTTCCTACTACTAGTTATCTATTTTACATTTGGTAGTGTATATATGTCCATGCCACTTCGTCCCAGCTTACCCTTCCCCCTCCCCGTGTCCTCAAGTCCATTCTCTATGTCTGCATCTTTATTCCTGTTCTGCCCCTAGGTTCCTCTGGCAATTATTTTCTTAGATACAACACCAAAGGCATAATCCATGAAAGAAAGAATTGTTAAGGTAGACTTCATAAAAATTAAAGATTTTTGCTCTGTGAAAGGTACTATGAAGAGCATGAAAAGACAAGCCACAGACTGGGAGAAAATATTTGAAAAAGCACATCTGATAAAAGACTGTCATCCAAAATATGCAAAGAACTCTTCAAAATCAAAATAGGGAAACAACCTGATTAAAAAATGGATCAACAACTTAAAAGACACCTCACTAAAAAATGATATACAGATGGCAAATAAGCATATGAAAAGATGCTCCACACTCTCTGTCATCAGGGAAATGCAAATTAAAACGAGATACAATTACACATCTATTAGAATGGCCAAAATCCAGAACACTGACAACACCAAATGCTGACAAGGATGCAGAGCAACACGAACTCTTGTTCATTGATGGTGGGAATGAAAAATGGTACAGCCACTATAGAAGACGGTCTGACAGTTTCTTACAAAAACTAAACATACTCTTACCATACAATCCAGTGATCATGCTCTTGGTATTTACCCAAAGGAGTTAAACACTTATGTCCACACAAAAACCTGCACACATATGCTTAGAGCAGCTTTATTCATAATTGCCCAAACTTGGAAGCAACCAAGATGTTCTTCAGTAGGTGGATGGATAAGTAAACTGTGATACATCCAGACAATGGAGTATTATTCAGTGATAAAAAGAAATGAGCTATCAAGCTATGAAAAGACATGGAAGAAACTTAAAACATATATTTTTAAGAGAGAAACAGCCAATCTGTAAAGGCTACATGCTGTATAATTCCAACTATAGGACATTTTGGAAAAGGCAAAACTATGGAGCTAGTAAAAGGGTCAGTGGTTAACAGAGGTTAGCAGAGAGGAAGTGATGAACAAAGGGAGTGCAGAGGATTTTTAGGGCAGTGGAACTACTCCGTATGAGACTATAATGATGGATACACGTCATTTTACATTTGTCCAAACCCATTAAATGTATAACACCATGAGTGAAACCTAATGTAAACTCTGGACTTTAGGTAAGAATGATGTGTCAATGTCAGTCCATCAATTGTCACAAATCTACCAGTCTAGCAGAGGATATTGATAATGGGGAAGGCTATGCATGTGTGGGAGCAGGGTGTATATGGAAAATCTCTACCTTCCTCTCAATCTTGTTGAGAGCTAAAACTTCTCTAGAAGTAAAGTCTATTTTGAAAAATGTGTTTATAAAGTTTCAAGGAAAGGAACTCCTATACATGGTTGTTGAGGGTTTTTTAATCTATTTATTCATAGGTGAAAAAGTAATCTAATTTCACCAAAATGCTGACAATCGTTATCCACAGGTAGATGGATGGTGTGTGACTGAAGACAGGAGTAGGGATGTGTTTTTGTTGTTTGATTTCCAAATTATATTTTCTTATTCAGAAAGACAAAAGTGTATATGTTTTAAATGAAAACCAAGTATCTTTAATTATTAAAAAGCCTAATTAGGTTTTCTAAAGTCTATGAAAGATTTTTATTTTTTCTGTGTTGTTTCATCAAACTGAAGAGAGGATTAAACTAATTTATCTTGATTCCAAGGGAAGCCCCGGTTAAGGCAATAGGACTGTAATTTGGGAGAATAGGCGAGATATTAAGCTATTGCTAAGGCTCAGGTCAGAAACTCTGAGCTTTCTGTTGTTATTAATGGAAGGACAAATGGAGAGAGGGGAGCTGAGCTGAAGAGTGGAAAGGCACTGGAGGGATACAAATCAAGATGAAAGGTGGCTGACTCGGCAAAACTGTTAAATGACTTTGCAAAAGACCTGTCACAATGGATAAACGGCCCCTCCTGAAGAAGCAGCTTAGCATTCCTGCAGTGCACACACAATTATTTCCAGGGATGAGACTGACAGGAAGGAGAAAGAAAGAGCAACGGCAAGAAGATCTAAAGACGCCTTAATGAGTCTGCAGACATTTCTTAAATGAGCAACTGGGAAGAAGAGAGCTATAGAAGAAAAACCAAAACAAAGTGCATGTACTTCATTTTCAGCTTCAGCCACTGGGCAAACCACCACCATTCTGCCCTTTCTCTGCTCATGAAAAACGGTAAGTTGCTCTGTGGATGCTGACTACACTCTAATTGTTTTTGTGGTAAGTGAGGCATAAAACCTATTGTCAAAAAACATGATGTCCACGGCGTACAGCCAGCCTTTATCTTCCCAGTAGATCACTCCCAGGGGTTAATGTTGTCAGAGGGACCCTCAAAATAACATGTGCTCGCATTTCTTTAAGGCAGACTTTCAGGTCAGAGCCCCCCTTTTTTCTCTAGTATCTCCTTCTCTGCAAGAAAAGAGAACTTTCCTCAAGTATATAACCCTGTTATGTCAAATAAAGGCCACACGCCCAAGGAAAAGAGGCAGGAGTCGGCGGGAGGGTAGCATAGGTCTCCTCTCTAAAGCTTATGGAGAGTTGTACTGACAAACATTAGTTACACCCTTTGTATTATAGTAAGAACCCCTGTTGCTAACACAATTCTTAGGATTCACTCTGCTGATTATTATATCTCATGATTTAGTTCCATTCATCAGAAACGAATCAAAGGTACTCAAACAGCTTGCTGCTGGTTTCAAACCAATATCATTTTATTAAGTTTCCCTCTGCCAGCCTTTAATGATTATACACTTACTGGCAGGAATATTTTCTGGGTCAGGATATTTTCAGCGTAATTTCCCCCTCAACCATTAGTTCTCAGGTCCTTTGGGCAGGAACCATGATTTGTTTGGATCACCTGCCTCCATGAGTAGAAAAATATATTATGATACAAACGTTTGGGTGAAATAGGCAGTTTTCACCCTGCTGCTCTCCACCAAGCTCCACGCCTCTCAAATTTAACTGAAATCTTTTCAAAACACACAGATTAATCACACCCTTTGTAGGTATCCTGCCCTTAAGAAGCCGTCCCAGCCTAAGAAGGGTCAGAGGTCACAGGAAGACTTCAACCTTCAGTATTCTCGGACTGGTTGTAACTGAAAAATTACCAGTCAGTTGTGTGGGATGGCATGGAGGGCAGGTAATACTATGTTCTTATGATAACCCACACAGCGGCCACTGCATTTGGAGCCTGACACCAAATTCTTTAGGCTTGAATTAGAAAAGGCACTTCTTTGATAGATTTCTTCTTGTTCCAGTTTACAGGCAACTAATCCTCACTGCATTGGATCAAACAGACGGGCACAATCAATTCAGGGAAAGCAAGCAATGCCAGGTCTGCTCAGTCTTCCCTCAATGAGCAGCAGAGGGGGAGGGGGGGAGACGGAAGGAAAGAAAGAAAACGCAGGCATGCCTGCACCCAGGATAGCTTAGCAAAGGCAAAGATGAAAAGACAAGTTGAAATATATATCCTGGCAGATGGAAGCGCTTGCTGTCAGAGGGAGAAGCTGAAACACCAACCACGATGCCAAGCACACCAAGCCTTCGGGCTCGGAGGGGTGTTGAAGGAGCTGGGGCAGACGGAAGTGGTTGTGATGTCAAAACGAAATTGGCACAGTGACTTTAGGGAGGGAAGAAGTCTGGATTTACTTAAGTCTCCATAGTCTGTGATCTATAGCATCGTGTGATGAGCAAGTTAAATATTGCACTTAGGTAATTAAGTCTCAGAGAAACCAGTGCCTTCCAAAGCAGTATTAATTTACACTGCTAGATCTTTCTAGGCTTGATTGGCCATTTGGTGAGAAGTCACACTGGAATGGCAGTCTAACAGTGGCAGGAGGAAAATTAACGAAAATGAGCTAGAAATAGGAGGCCCCAGTATTAGCGGTTTTCTCTCTGCCTTGGGACATGAAGTGCATGACAAGATGTTTCCTCATCTACCGGCAGGCACTCCCTCACCCAACAGCTCAATCCCCTGCTCCAATGCTTTGCTCAAAACGTGGGCAATGACTTAGCATTCTTTGACTCCTCTGACGTTTCCTGATCTCTCTTCTCTCCCATGGCTTTTCTATCTTCCCTTCTTGCCCCCGAATACAACTTGTCTACAGTACAGGGCATCAAAAGGGCTTCTGCGGATAACAGTTCTCCCTCTCCTGACTCTTTAAAGATCCTCACTGTTCTCAGAGATCCATCCTTTCCCTGCCATGGCTGTGAGTCAGTTTCTCTGGGCCAGCGTATTCATCACCATCATGTATTCTGAGACAGAACACTGCTTTTTAAGAATGGGAAGATTAAAACATTTCTTGTCCCCAAGTGCCTGGATATTAGCAGCGAGATTGCCAGATTTTAGCTAATGACTCCAAAGTGACATCAGTATAAACAGTTATAAACACATAACACAAATCAGTTATAAACACATAACTGGCAAACATAAGCATAGGTAAATGTGCACGTGTGTCGCTAAGCTGCATCTTCTTTGCCATGAGCAAAAAATACATATTTTTTGTATTTATACATATTTATAATAAATACATATTTATAAATGTATGTAGCTTTATATGTGCATTTATGTACAAGTAAGCAACATCCTCCTTGTCTTCAGCAGGAAGTAAGGATGCCCCTAGTCTGTTTCCAATGGAGCACTACTACCCTACCTTGATCTGGCAGCTTCTCCATATTTTCTCTCTGTCAAAGACCCATAGGTCCGTGTGACTTTCACTTCCCAGATATTCTCCAATGGAAACACAAAGGTTCAAATAGTGAGCAACTTACCGCTGGAGGTGGTGGTCCAGGGATGACTCCTCAGCATTCAGTAGAGCTGCTGCACAGGTCAGCAGCTGATGGCTGCAGCTTACAGATTTGAGTTCCAAGATGAGGAGGCCCAAGCAGAACATAGATCCCATCTCCTCCAGTTCACTGGTACCAAACTGTAGACCCTGTCAGTTAAACAAAGCACTCAACAGTGAGTATAGGATGGAAACCGAGTGAAGACAATCTGAGATTAAGAGGAAGGACACCTGGACATAGGCCTATCACAGAAATTAAGAATTAATAGTATTTATCAGTCACTGCCCAATGTGTTTTGTTGTGGGATTTGTGGCTTAGTGGTTCTCAGTCTGCATTACATCAACCTTCAGGATTTCCTAGAATTACTCCCAAGACAGCAATGACCAGGTAGGGGTACTAGAGGGCAGGAGGTGTACGTGGAGATCCAGGAGTCACTTCCCCCCACTTTAGATAAAGCAGCAGTGCTTCTATCTGTATTTTACAAAAGGGTTTCACAGCTGAAACCAAAGTCTGTAAACAATAGTACTAAGAGATACCCTTTTTCTCCCATAAATTTGCCAACCAACGGAGAAGAATGAGGGAGATCTCTCACATACAAACACTAAAAACTTAAAAAAACAAACTCATTTACCATTTATTTAGAACCACCTATTCAGTTGTACTAAGATAACACATGAAAGCAAAGCCATGACATTCATGCTATGCTATTATTCACGAAGTTAACAGATAATAATAACAATGAACAAACAACTTTATTGAGCATTTACTATGTCCAGTACTGTTCTGAGCCCTTTTACATGCATTAACTCAGTGAATCCTTAACAAAGTCCTATGAGGTAGATATTGTTACTGTATCGATTCCACAGAGAAGGAGATTTAGACCCATAGAACTGATACTTTATCCATGCCCTGCCAGCTAGTACATAATAGAGCCTCATAAATCACTTCTGACTTAACTACTCAACAAACAGATTTATGTAGTCTAGGAGGAACTCTATTACATGGTGAGGTAGAAAGTGCATGGTTTTTGAAGTTAGATAAAAATTGGATTTGAATCCTGATTTTACTATTTTCTGACTGTGTGATCTTAGATATATGAACATTTGCCTTGATTTTCTCATTCATAAAAGGCATTATAATTCTTCCCTCCATATACTTAGATAAGTCATGATAGGAATATTTCAAAGTCCCCCAATATTGATCAGTAATAGCTCAATTTTTCTTTTATTCATCCTATAAAGATATTTAATATGACAGAATTCAATGTGGTCCTGAGGTCTTCATGTTTATAAAGTACATTTGACTTAAATGAAAAAGAATCAATTGTTGAATATTATATTTTAAGAAACAGATTTTCCATCCAAAGAACAGTGATCAAGAAGACAGGGATGTGATAGTAAAAATTTGAAAAGATTGGTCAAAAGTATCCCAAGGCAAAAAAAGTTCCAAGCCAGGAAACTGTAAGCGTCACGAAAGAATTTCTAGGTAAAAGGATAAAGAAATGTGTAAGGTCCTCAAGTTTATTTTATTTTTTTAATTTATTTTTTGTTTTTTTAACATCTTTATTGGAGTATTATTGCTTTACAATGGTGTGTTAGTTTCTGCTTTATAACAAAGTGAATCAGTTATACATATACATATGTTCCCATATCTCTTCCCTCTTCCGTCTCCCTCCCTCCCACCCTCCCTATCCCAACCCTCTAGGTGGTCACAAAGCACCGAGCTGATCTCCCTGTGCTATGCGGCTGCTTCCCACTAGCTATCTATTTTACGTTTGGTAGTGTATATATGTCCATGCCACTCTCTCACTTTGTCCCAGCTTGTTTTAGCTGTTTAAAAATGTGATTTGCTGCATGTCTGGACACCTGTTTTCCTGAAGAAAGGAGACATTACTTCAGAGTTAAGTGAAGTCTGTTGTTCCATAAACAACGGCAGTGGGAAGGGAAAGACGTGTTTAACAAGTTATTTTCCTTAGGTCAATGGAAAAGAGCACTTTTTACAGAGAGAGAAAAATCTCAGTCTCTTTCCATGTGCCACAGCTCTGAGGGCTGATACTTTTCCTCTGCCCGTTTTCCTGGCTGCTTTTCTTCATTCTGGAAGGGCTGTCTTGGTCACACCCTCCTCCTCAGTCAGAAGCAGGAGGCCTCCTCTTACATGTGTTACCCCAGCATCCAGCTGAACAGACAACAGTCCAAAAGAAGGAAGAGTCCTGGAGGAAATAAATCTCACAGCATGCACCATATTGCCAGGTCAGGGGCAATTTCTTCATACAAATCAACTTCTGTACAACAGCAGACAAAATGATAGTGTTTTCATAATGCAAAAATAGTCCCATATCTCTGATATTGGTCTGTTTATTTCAGCCAATGGTTGGTATTATAAAATGACTATTCTAGAAGACCTTGAATCATGGAACTTATACCATTTATTGGCTGTGGGGTCTTGGGTAACACTTACTCTATTTCACCCTCTACTATCAATCTCACTTGAGTACTCTATACTTTTTACCCTCACACAGTATCAAAAACATTTGTTTATCCAGGAGCTTCCCTGGTGGCTAAGTGGTTGAGAGTCCACTTGCCGATGCAGGGGACACGGGCTCGTGCCCCGGTCCGGGAGGATCCCACATGCCGCGGCGCAGCTGGGCCCGTGAGCTATGGCCGCTGAGCCTGCACGTCCGGAGCCTGTGCTTCGCAACGGGAGAGGCCACAACAGTGAGAGGCCCGCATACCGCAAAAACAAAAAACCAAAAAAACAAAAAAAAACATTTGTTTATCCAAACGGCCTCCTCTTACCTCCCACACCCAGCCTTGAGTGAAATCCTCAAAGGCAAGGACTGAGCAGTATCTGTCTTTTTACATCCCTGGCATGGAATACATAGCCTGTCATATGGCATGTCGTCCATATATTAAAAATGGATAAGTAATGGTTATAAATGGGTGGGTATAGAAAGGCATGGACGGAGTGTCTCTTGGATATTTATTATATTTGTTAAGTGAAACTTCATTTCTCTGAGTAATGAATAGAGGAATGCCTTTAAATTATGTTCTCCCATTGTTAAAGGTCATGAGCATTTTTTAAATTCTTATTTTATTTTTGCTCCAGGAGGTGCATTCACTCCCTGGATATGTTTGGGGAAACAGGTGGATAAAATTTAGAAATTCTGTTATATACTTTGGTCACTTACCATGTACTCACAGCAGCAAGGCTTTGGGTTAGTTTAAAAGTGCATCTTAATAAAACAGAGACCCAATTTTCCTCTCCCCCAGCTTAGTTGTGTTAATTCGGCTTTGCTTTTCACAGCCGATGACAGAAAGCCTGACTATAGTGGCTTAAACATAAATAGAGCTTTATTTTCTGCATATTATAAGTTTTGGTGGGTATGAAGTTCGTGGAATTATTTCAGTGTCTTAACAAAATCAGGGTCACTTTATCTGCCATTCTCCTGGTTTTCTCAACATACAAGATGGCTGCTGTAGCTCCAGCCAGCACATCATCATTCAAGGAGGGAGAAAGAGAAAGTGGGGGGGAGGAGGTGACAGCATACTCTTGCTTACACTTTATTGGCCAGAACTGTGTATTATAATAAAGCAAACTCCAGCTTTACAATGGTCTGGTAAATGAACATTTTACTTTGTTCATCCTCTTTAATAAAGACATGTAAGACAGAAGAGTGTTAGAAACAAGCGTTGGGTGAGCCAACAATGTCTGTCATATCAATATTCAGTTACCAATGCTGCCAGAAAGTATAGGTGCCTATCTTTTCATCACATTGGTAAGCAAAACTCACTAGCACAATTCTTTATATATATATACACACACATTAACTTTTATTGATAATCTACCCCAAAATAAGTCAAATTCATAAGTACATCTGAACTTAATTTTTAAATATTAATATGGGAAGAATATTTGTGTTATTATAGAAAATTACTTATTTTAATATTTATGTTATTGCAGAAAATTACATATTGGTAAAACATACACAGAATCCACAAAAGATAAGTTTATAAAGCATGAGTACTGATAACTGGTGAGCAAAAGAGGAAAAATAATTTAAAAACAAACATGGAAAAATGTTATTACCTAAATAAAAATGCCTCTTACACCCAGCATATTGGTAGATATATATATTCAGATTTGTAATATTTAGTGCTGACTCATGATAAAAGCTGGCACATATCAAAATACATTGACTATGTGACATGATAATATCACTTCTGGGAACTTTTCCTAAGGAACTGATTCTAAGTAAAAGTGAAGCCATATGTACAAACTGTATATTATATCAAGGTTATATATAGTAATTAAAATTTGAGAGAAATAAAAGTCTAAATATCTAATAAGGAAAAAATGACTAAGGAAATTATAATGGAATAAATTTTATGACATATAATGAAGTCACTAAAATGATAATTATACAACAATTTATCAATATGGAATATGTTTATGATTTAATGATAGGTGTGAAAAGCAAAATCCAAAGCACATAGTGATGTGATTTCTGGTGAAGACTTAGAAATGAAAATTCCTCATGCTCGCTTTGGCAGCACATATACTAAAATTGGAACAATACAGAGAAGATTAGCATGGTCCCTGCACAAGGATGACACGCAAATATGTGAAGCATTTCGTATTTTATTTTACCAGGGGAAGGGATAGATTGGGAGTTTGGGATTGACATGCACACACTGCTATATTTAAAATAGATAATCAACAAGGACCTACTGTATAGCACAGGGAACTTTGCTCAATATTATGTTACAGCTTAAATGGGAAAAGAATTTGAAAAAGAACAGATACATGAATATGTGTAACTGGATCACTTTGCTGTACACCTGAAACTAACACAACATTGTTAATCAGCTACACTCCAATATAAAAGAAAAAGTTTAAGAAAAGCCATTAAAAAAAAAAAACCCTCACATACACTTTCAGACACCATTGCTAAGATTTGCCAATATTACACAAACATTTGGGGGAGGGGGCTCTATAATATCAATAAAACATCCATGTAAGAAATACTTTTTAAAGTTACTGCTCCCTAGAAAAATGTTTAAAAAGCTATATGCAGTATGCCAATAAACTACTGTAATTCCATTTAGCAGTTGTAAGATCGTCTCTTTATCTTTTATATTCTGAAGTATAT